ACAGCTAGAGCTCTGGGCAAGGGGCTGTTAAGGTAACATGCAGCTATAACCATTCAATTGCCGTGGGCACCCAAAACAAAAAATGAGGCATTTACTGCATTTGTGTTGTCATTTACATTTACGTAAGAGGGTTTGAGTCTCTGTTCAGTGTCAAAATTCAAAAGCTGTCAATCATCTCAATCATCTTCACAGGCTACAAATGTCAGATCCTTGCCAATTAATGTGTGCTTATTCCACATGCTGAAGAGCATACTTTGAATTGTCTTAGACACTGCACATCAGTGTAAATGACACAAACTAAAAACATCAGCATGTTCTCTGCTCTTTTGCAAAGCAGAATCTCAGAGCCAAGCAAATCTTGTAGGCTAATAACAATAACACTATTTAAATGAACAAAAGCACAATTATTAGAAGTAACTGCAACAAATGAATCCAAAACATGCTAAGCTAGAAATGTGCAAATGATTGTTGTCAAGGAGAAAGAACACTGAAACGCAGTGGGAAGACTGAATCCACCCACCTCCATGCATGTACACAACATAAACATTCAGGCTTCTTGTCTGCTTCACTCAGACAGATGGTCGACCAGAATTATGATCCTGTAGCGATTATGCAGGAAGACATATTGGTGGCACAAGGGGGTAAAGAGAACAGTGTTGTGTGTACGCAAGTATAAGAGGTGGAAGAGAGATGCAATGGACCAGAGAGTGTGAAATGGTCTATCCCTGCTCTATACTCCTGTTTCAGATATTCTAAACAGGCTCAGGTTACCTCACCATTACCCTGAAGCTGTGGAGTCTAACTCTAAAAGACAGATGCCGTTTCTGTGGGGGGCAACCAAGTTCGGCTGACCAAGTGTGTGCAGCTGCCCCACAAAAACAGGTTGAAAACATAAGAGTCACAATAAAATGACTCCAGACATTGATTGAAATGATCCAAATGTCCCGACAACCACATGGTTTTTTAGGCAAATATTTAGTTTCACAACACAGCACTAAGTAGAGTTAGACGGATAAATGGTTTAATTTTTTTAACCAATATTTACACTTTTCCTCTTTTTATGGTTATATTGGGACCACCAATATAGAATAACACCCAACAATGCCATTTAAAAGGAACAGATGTCTTGCAAGTCAACATATGTTAAAGGTAAGCCTGGACGATAAAACGGTATCGATATTTATCGACAGTACACCTTCTTCGATATCGATAGAAAAAATGTTCGGTATAGCACACGATATAGGCACGTACTATGATTGATGCAGACAGCACACACAAACATGCTGAAATGAGTGCTGTGCCTGCCTGTGATAAGGAGATTGTGAATAAAGAATGAATATTAGTCTAATTTAAAATAAACATTTGCATTAGAATGTTAGGTGTGCATCAGGGAGCGTCAGCAGTGGCACGCAAGATGCGGTGATATAAGTGACGTTGTTGCATTTTAATGTTTTGTTAGTCTAGCCCACGAGATGCGCCGCTGCGGTGTTATTCATTCAAAATATTAGAGAAATATAGAAGTTCAATGCGGAGAAAATCTTGAATGGGTTAAAACCGAAACCAAGTCATTCACACAGAACGCATATTCAGTGCATTTTTTAGACTGACAAATATGACTGCACTCGCGTCTCACAGAAGAGATGTATAGAAAGCCATGCAAAGTTAAAACAGTTTAAACTTTTAGAAAACACGTCACAAATTTGTGGAGGTTTATTCCTTTTCACTGCGTCTCAAATGTTTTTAAATGCAGTCTGTGTGAATGGCGCTTCGGCTCTTTGGATTAAGCAATGCATATATACTAGGGGTGGAACGGTTCAATTTACTCACAGTTCGGTTCGTATCAAGGTTTTAGAGTCACGGTTTCGGTATGGTTCGATATGTGCTATGTTTAGGCAAAAAATATACTGTCAAATAAAATTAAAGAAAATAAGAACAATCTAACTACAAGCAACAGCACAAATAAATACAAGAGAGTAAAAATACAAATAAAATAAACAGTGATTTTCAGTTTTTTTTAGGTAGGTCTAACATTAGTTTTTAGGTACAGAAATTGAATAAAGTAATGAAATGTAAAACAGCATTGCATATTTGACTGTATAAATGAAAGATTAATCTTTATTAAAGTTACAAAAGCTATTCAATCAAGAGCAGTGAGTGATTTCTTTGTAGTTGCTGTTTGATTAATATTAAGAAAGTGCTGTCACTTTAAGAGAATGCACTGATCCAGTGCACTGATACAGTACGTTCAGCCGGCTATGTCTGCTATAGTATACTTACCAAGATGGGCATTTTGACATAATTTCTGTGTGAATTTGTCCATTTAAACATAATACTTCAGAGAGAGATTAATATTTGCGCGTGTTCGGTTTGCGCGCTTCGGATGAACACACGCACAAATCTTCTAACTGCATGCGCGAGCTCGCGTCCTCTGGCTGAGACTGGCTCTTAAATGTTTAAACTGGCAAAGCTTAAATGAGTTTAGCTTAAACACAGATATCAACGTGTGCTGTTCAGGTCTCACCCGCGCGCGCGAGCTATCAGCACCCGGGTGATAATGGCATAAATGACTGCTCATATTCCAGCATACGGCATTCGCATTGAACAAGAGTGAATAGCTTGTCCACATTTTTTTTTTTATCGCTGTTGTTTTAATTGTTGCTGTTTGATTAACATTAAGAAAGTGCTGTCACTTTAAGACAATGCACTGATCCAGTGCACTGATACAGTACGGCTATGTCTGCTATAGGATACTTACCAAGACGGGCATTTTGACATAATTTTTGTGTGAATTTGTCCATTTAAACACAATACTTCAGAGAGAGATTAATATTTGCCTGAGGCGCGGGTTTGCGCGCTTCCGATGAATGCACGCACAAATCTTCTCACTGTGCGCGTGAGCTCGCGTCCTCTGGCTGAGACTGGCTCTTAAATGTTTAAACCGGCAAAGCTTAAATGAGTTTATCTTAAACACAGATATCAACGTGTGCGTGTCCTATCAGCACCTGGGTGATGACGGAATAAATGCTCATATTCCAGCTAGACTTGTGCCGGTATTCGGTAATGCGATATATCACGGTAATGAATATGCTTAAATCAGTATCACATTTACAAACTCCCTTAAAAAAATCATTAAAAGCTGTCACTGATCTTAGCTCATCGCGATCTCACATTTATAAGCAACGAAGCTCTCTACACTGCACAATGAATCTTTTATTTACACCGTCTACACTTTGCTTATGAAAGGATTCATGAGATATGTCTGTGATACATTACTCAATGCTGCAAAAACACGTAGAAACCTTTGAAGCTGCCCTCAGCGATCACAATCACAAGTATGATGACGATCTGGTCAGTCGCACTGGTGCTCCTAAATATTTTTTCATAGTCGCACGCAGTAGTTTTCAGTCGCAAATGCGACTGAAATGGTCGCACTGTAGAGCCCTGTTATATCGTTGATTTTTTTTTTTTTTTGCTATATCGCCCAGCTCTAGTTAAAGGTAGGCATTATAAATACCAATAAATAAACAAATAAAGACTATTGAATAGGTAGACTCATTTAGAATACAAAAATAAATGTATAAGGCAATTATTTTACAAGAATGCTCCATAACATGATCTCTAACATGATCACTGCTGAGGTGTGGTTAGGAGAATAAAAGAGGAGGATTGCATTTCCAAGTACCTGGACACACAGAAACATAAATCTAATGTGTCCCAAAGCCAAAGTAGAAGGGTTTATGCATTTTTAACCTTATGCCTTCCCAGGCATTTCCATCAAACCAATAGAAATGTCTATGGGCAAATAAGACATCCCAGATAGATGCAGGTTAGCGGTTTAAAAAAAAAAAAACTCAATTTATTCTATGTAGGAAAATATCAAGTTTGTGGCAACACTCCAGTATTTACAACAACCTTACCTTGATAGAAGAATAAGGTTAGTTACAGAAGGGATTTGACCCTATCCTATCTAACTATTGCCTCAACCAGCTGCAACTTAACCTCAATTACGGTAATCGATAGGGGAGGTGCTTAAATGGATCTTTAAGGATAAAGAACAACAAAAACAGTACAGCTCAATTCAGACTCGCAACAAAGATGCAACATCTCCATGGCAAATCGTAGCTGCTTTGTAAACAAAACGGAGTGATGTGATCGAGCTGCCAAGTTCAAGGCGTCTGAGAGCGCGGAAGCTTAAAATAAATCCCGTGTGTAGCAGAGACACGGGCATTCATGACATTAAGTTTCGTTAGGTCTCAAAGCAATTACATGAACACGATTTTACTGTAGCATCTTGAGTCTGAGAGAGTCGTGTAGACTAGAGACTCCAAAACAAGGGTCGGTTGACGGCTAACTTTGTGCATGCTTTCTTTATGACAGATTTCTAAATCATCATCATTACAGATTATATTGACCATAACAGTGATAAAAAGGTTACTAGATCACATGCTGACCCAACTAACGGTGTCTCGGTGTATATAACGTGTTTATTATGCCAGGCTGCTTTTGCACGGCACTTTGCATGTTGAGATTAATACAGATTCCATGTCATTCAATTAATACGATTCAATGTCAATTAACGAGGCCTCAAGCTTGGGACTAAAAGAATGAACACAAATGGCGTGTCTGCATCTATGCAACCTACTATTAAAATTAGAAAACACTGCAATGGTTATATTTCATTTCATTACATAAACAGTGTGTATCGTTTAGCATAAGCATAGAAAGCTAGCAAAGCCGGGCTAATAATGGTGCTACATGGACCAAATCTCAGCGCTTGGTAGAATAAAAAAAAAAAGTTGTGACTGGTTACGAACCACACCAGGACTCGTAACGTGTCAGCAGAAAAATGGGTCACATACAATATGTTTTGATGAGGAACACGGCAAAAGGGTCGATAGCATGGTCGGCTAGCCGCTTTTGAGCTAGCTAGCACGCTAAGCCTAGTAAAATCAACAACAGAGCCATTATCCTCGAATGAGGGATTTAAACACTGCACTTACCTCCAGAAAAAATATCCTTCTGCTGCCAAACGGAACAATAAAAAAAAAATCCACTACACGTAGATCCGCGTTAGGTTAATACGTCCGTTAATTGTCGGGATGTTTGTGTTTCCACATTCGCTAAAAGGAGACGCTGCTGTCGCCCGGCAGTCTCGGTGTCGCGCACTGACTGAAGCTGTGCAAATATATTTTTCACGGGAGCGCCGCTACAAGACTGCGTGAACGCGCTTTAGTCACATGAACGCGGGAAGGAGAACAACGTTGGGTCAACAACAGACGAGTGATGATGAGAATACCGTCACCGGTTACTATCGTAACCTCGGTTCCCTGAGAGCGGGAACGAAACATCACGGAGACATTTCTCCGTTATGGTTTCCACGAATCGGGTCTTTTGAACAGTTCATCCCAAAGAGCCGCTTTTTTTAAGCAACGTGATCCCTGACATCCCAAGTGTAGTGTAAAATGTTCGAACAAAACCCAGATGTATACATAGGCCTACTGTAGCTTTTTATTATGTTTTTAGATTTTATTAATATGTGATTGTTCTGTTGCGACCAGATCCCGCTCACGATAACGACATAGGCTATACTTTGCATTTACAATAGCCCACTACATTTCATGTGAATTTCATTTCATTTAAATGTCATTTCTCTGGTAAAAGGTTAGAATGTTTATATGGAATACAGTTTATTAAAACCAACTCTGTTTCACATGTTAATAAAACAATCACCATATTTACAGCACGTTTTATTTGTAACATTTCTGTTATTCTTCTTTTAAAGAAACCTATAGACCCATCAGTCCTTGATTTAAAAAAAATAAAACTATATTAGGTCACTGATTCATTCAACATTTGATTCCATATACTTTAATCAAGTTAGACGCCATATTGTATTAAAAAGCGGATAAAACGAGGCTGTGTGAGGGATAGACTTATGGTAGGCCTATGCACTGTATAAAGGTCCTAGATCATGTCATTCTAAACTGTTTTATTAAGTTTTGTCCAACAAAAGGTAGACAAAACTTACTCGTGAACAAATTATTCCTATCAGTTCTGCAAAAAAAGAAAGAAAAAAAGATCCTATTCAAAAGAGGACATCAAAAAAATAGTTGATGACTTGAGAAGACTTTGTGTAATGTACAGGATTTCAATGGATTACATGAGACCACCGTGTGTAATAAAGGTGTGTCAGTGATTTAAATAGTCTGTGACATGCTGTAATTAAACAAATAGTTCATTTTCCCATGTCAGTCTATTTTTTTACTGTCTGTCTACTTAAAAGTTTTTAAATTATTTATTGATGGAGGACTCCTGAGAGTTCCCTGTCTAGAATTAACTGAGATACCTTTACCTGTCACTGGGTACTACTGCTAGGTGTCCTATTGTACTACTGGTGACCACTATAAACTGTTCTATGTGTCAGTTCTCATGATCGGAGTGGTTTAGTGCATTTAAATCGCAGTCAATCCCAAAGCATGTGCTGTTTGTTTTATGAGACATGGAAAAGTTTGCACACCTTTTACACACAATATACAGTACATTGAATAAACAATGTTACCGTGAAGCAAATTTCTTTAATACAACACAAGAACATTGTGGTGTAACTCTGTGTTATTGATTTTTTATCATTTATATATTGGGTAAATTCAGCTAAATAATTACAGTATGTTTTCAGTATTTTCCAACTCTTCAGGGTCACATGATCCTTCAGAAACTATGATACACTACCATTCAAAAGTTTGGGGAAAGACTAATAATAATAATAATAATTATTATAATTATTATAATAAGCAAGAATTCAGCAAGAACACATTAAAAATGACCAAAAATGACAGTAAAGAAATTTATAATATTAGAAGGATCCTGTGACAATGAAGACTAGAATGGCTGCTGGAAATTCAGCTTCACTTTCAAAGGAATAAATAATATTTTTTGAATTGTAATAATATTTCACAATATTAGCATTTTAGCCTTAGTGAGCATAAGAAAAACTTCAGTAGTGTATCTGAATTCACTATTCATTACTATGACAGTGCTTTAAATAAACATATTCATTCAATATCCCATATGCACACACAATAGTGTATTATTTTAAATGTTTGCATGCAGTTTGTTCCATAGTTACAGATGGTAGGAAAACAACAAATTATTCATGCCTCTGTCAGACATTACCAGAATCACATTAGCAGTCAGTAATAGGCAGCCACTGTATTTACCTAAATTGTGTAAAACAGGTGTTGAAAGTAGGTGAGTGTATAATGTGCTGATCATATCATGGCAATGGAAAAGAACACGCATGTCTGTCAGTAGAGCCAAAACTACTACTAATACAAAAGTGCCATCATTGTCTATATGACTGCAGACTAGACACACCTCTGGAAATGTGTCAATAAAGATGAAACATCACCTAGCCACACCTGTAGTTGTATATTAATAATTACTAATTATGAGTCATTTGTTAGAGATACATGACAGGCATATTTTAACATGCTTAGATTAGACTGTAAAATGGGACAGTAGCACTCTTACTGTAAATTAGCCCTGTGCTCTTTTAAGCTTCCAAAATTGCCAACTCAGCCCCTGAGAGGAAATGACATCATTGTTTACAGCTCTGCAGCAGATGGAGGAATGGGAGTGGCCCCTCCGTGCCACACTGATGATTCAAAACAGCATTTAGTCACAGTCTATTTTTCTTTCCCTTAGTGCGGCCCAGTGTGTTAAAATCCCAGAGTGCTCCTGCTCTCACAACATCACTGCTTGAAAGTGCCCTGTAAGCAAACTCCTGAATGTAGCCATTCCTTTTTCACATCATTTTCAATCATTGCATTTTTTTTGTGTGCGACATAATGTAGTAAGTGGAGTTACTCTAGAACAGGAGCCCTCAAACTTTCTGGACCCTCAAATATTGTAATAACATAGCAAGGGACTATATTCATAAAATACAGGTCATTTATACTGACCATTTAAAATGAGAGAAAAAAAGATATTATAAAGACATCAATTACATAATTGACTTTCACCCAAAAATGAAAATTAGCCCATAAATTACTCACCCTCAAGTCATCCTAGGTGTATATGACTTTCTTCTTTCAGATGAATCCAGTTGGAGTTATATAAAAAATTGTCTTTGATCTTTCAAGCTGTTTCATGGCACTCAGCGGGTGTTGCATGCATCAGTCCAAAAGAAGTATAACTCCGACTGGATTCGTCTGAAAGAAGAAAGTCATATACACCTAGGATGACTTGAGGGTGAGTAATTTATGGGCTAATTTTCATTTTTGGGTGAATTAACCCTTTAACAAAATAAATGATGAAACTGTATGGAAAATATTTACTTTTAAGTTCACATTGTACTGTATCTTTTTTTTAACCCACAGATACCCTGTCAATGTTTTATACAAGACACCAGCGTTAGAAAGCAAATTTTTCTAAATGATACCTTTTTAAATGATATATTATTTAAATATTTAATATTTCTTACATTTTATAAACTATAATTTTTCTTAATTAAAACATTATTTTCCTTCTTTTGACAAACCCTATTCTAGATGATGCAGATGTTGAGATATTTTGGCACCTATTGAGTAAAATAAAAGTATGTACAGCCTACTGAAGATGAAACTGGCCTCAACGCTCAGGCAACATTTGATCTTGCGCACTTTCTATCTGCAAATTTAATTTAATTTAATTTAATTGGATACAGTCCATGACCACAAACTATCTAGACTATGATGTTTTCCTCTGGAACTAACATTATCCACATTCTCCAACTCACTGCAGCCTCTCTGCTAATGATAATCTGTGCTAACAATGCCTCCATTCAATGAAGTCTATCAGAACCAAATGTTTCCATGCATACTTGTGCGACTTATGAATGCCTTGCTGATCTCTTCTGATCTTCTGTTCAGTCAGTCTTGCTTCCTTTATGTGCAATGTGTAAGATCCTTATGTTGGCATGTTTACGGTTAAAGATGAAAGGCTATATTGCTTCCTCACTGATAATCCCAGCAGATATTAGTGCTCCCGTCCCATCGTTGCTGGTTGAGCTTAAACCAGTGGGTACAGGACAGTGGGGGAGGGCCGGTAGGGATTACTTTGACAAGTTATGTAAGCATGCCATCCAACTAAAGGGTGAGAAAAAGAAGGAGATGGAGATTAAAGGAGATGGTAGAAATTTCAGTAGGTTTAGGGAAGCAAGCAAATGGGGAGGAAAAATCCTGTTCCTGAGAATGCTGAGCTTTTCTGGAATGTTGATAGCATTTGAACCGCCTGCTCATGACCGAACAAAGAAAGTTTTTTCTTGCTGTGCTCGACAGAAAAAGGGACAGAGTGGGAACAGATGGGAAACAGAACTGTTTAGATCTGGGAAGCGCTACCAAGGCTTCCCCAGTCGAGCCCTTATTTTCTTCGAAACACTTTTTCACTCATGACATGACTAAACAGTGGCTAATATTTGTATGCTTAAACCTGATTACAAACGTATGCTGAAATGAAGTACCATTTAAATAGATACAGATAAAAAGAGACCAAATGGACAAAGGGAACATATTAAAAGTAAAAGCTGTTTCATGGCTGCTCTTAAACAGTGAGAGCTCATGCCATATGCATAATGTCTTAAACATTCCTCTTTATGCTTTCACAAAAGTCAAGACTGCCCCCCCTGTAACAGCTTTCTGTTGACCAGTCAAATTCCGCTAAGGCGTGCAGGATTTGCATAATGGGCTAGGTTTAAGTTTGCTCATTTTACACAACTTTAGAGAACCTGAGCCATGTGAGGTCACAAAGGAAGGACAATACTGTAACACTGCCAAAAACTAGTTTCGTAAGAATCTTTGCTGTCATTCATCTGTTTTGAAATGTATCCACACTTCAGATGGGGTAAGGAAAAAGGATTATCTGGAAAATATTCAAAGATGTTGGTTCAAGAGAGAGGGGGGAAAAGTAGTGAAAACATAATGTCACTACTGCGTAGAAAAGACTAGCGCATTTGTATAGGCTCAGACTGTAAAAAACTGCGATGGCGCCCCCTACTGTCAGTTAAATTCAATACAATTCGAATTTATTTCTATAGCGCTTTTCACGTTTCAAAGCAGCTTCATAAAAAGTGTATGCTTCAATGGTACAATCAGGAAGTAATGTGTTATCGGACAAAGGTGAGTGTGCCAAAGTAATGTCCATATGGCAATAGTATACCACTGT